ACCCATAATAATCATCGATAAAATGTGTCAATGAAATAACTATAATTCGGGTAGTGGTGTAAAACGGCTTACAAAAGCATTTAATTAGTCAGAGTCAGACCAAATGAGCAGTATGGATTTAAAGAAATCGTTTAAATTATTCATTATTGTAGGATTGATTGTGCAATGTTGTATCAATCAATATCTAATTTATTAATAGTTTAGAATTAATGCGCGAATTGAAGCATAAAATATTGATTAATAAAACTCAAATTTTATGAATAATATAATTCATATTTTTGTACGTACAAATAGCGCCAATATAATTACAAAAAAAATCGTATTCTTGTCTAATCTTATTGAGCGGTATTTATATTTATAAAAGCAAAAAAAAATAAAACAAAAACGACAAAAAAAATTAAATTTGTAAAATGCATTATCTTTACTTAGAGTGAGAATTCTCCGAATTAAGTTTTCTGCTCGCCTAAGATATACTGGTTATATTATCAATTTTGCGTATTACTTTTTTAATGTAGCTTTTTATGCTATTACATCCGTACATGTATTCTATCAGTCTAGGGCTAAGTGAATCGCTTGACGATGAACGTTACTTGTAATATTTAATAAAAAAACGATAAGATTGCAATTTGAAATTGTCCACTAACATATTTTTGTATTTCACCTAAATAAAAAACAATATTAAAATAAAGTGAAAACAAAAAGAAGTTTTTCAAATCAATTTACACCATTAATATTTAATAATCTTGATCGAACTTTTCTATTCAAAAACATTATTTATAAATTAAGAACAGGAATAAATTCATGATCATCATTAATAAATGTATATTTTATATAATTTAATGCTTTATAAATAAAAAGATAATTATTTTCATGAATTTATCTCTTGAAATACTACACGTGCATTAATAACTTATTTTCACAAAAACAAAAAAAAAAAATAATTTATTTTAATAATTCTTCGGAAAACTTACCTTTAAAGTTGTTTAACATTAACATCGTTTTGGCGTTATGATTTCCAACAGTATAAGCTGATTGTTGACGTTTCAACTATTCAAAGAAAAATTTTTGAGAGAAGATCGCGAAAAACT